CCCTCTGCCCACTATCAGTAGTTCAATCTTGACTGGCCCAAGGTTGACTCAGCCTTCCGTCCTTCCGAGGTGGGTAAAACGAGGACCCAGATTGTTGGGGGCAAGAGGCTAACTCTGTAAACAGTTTAGAGAGGGCTGTAAAGCACTGTGAAGCGGTATATAAGTCTAAGTGCTATTGCTATCTTCCTTCTCTCCCAGTGGTTAGAATGCAGCATTGCACGCTAACTCTGCCCACAGTCTGGAGTTTCATCCTGACCGGCTCAAGGTTGATTCAGCCTTCTATCCTTCCGAGGTGGATAAAACGAGGACCCAGATTGTTGGGGGCAAGAGGCTGACTCTGTAAACAGTTTAGAGAGGGCTGTAAAGCACTGTGAAGCGGTATATAAGTCTAAGTGCTATTGCTACCTTCCTTCATCCCTCCCTTTCCCGGTGGCTCAGTGGTTGGAATACAGTATTGCAGGCTGGATCTGCCCAAAGCCAAGAGTTCGATCCTGACAGGCTCAAGATTGACTCAGCCTGTAAAACCCTGTGAAACAGTATATGCCATAAGTATATTTACAATACTGTAAATATACAGGATTGCCATTTTCTTTCCTTCCTTCCTTCCTTCCTTCCTTCCTTCCTTCCTTCCTTCCTTCCTTCCTTCCCATTGGTTAGAATGCAATATTGCAGGCTCACTCTGCTCACTGCCATGAGTTCGATCCTCACAGGCTCAAAGTCAACTCAGCCTCCCATCCTTCCGAGGTGGGTAAAACGAGGACCCAGATTGTTGGGGGCAAGAGGCTGACTCTGTAAACCTCTTAGAGAGGGCTGTAAAGCATTGTGAAGTGGTATATAAGTCTAAGTGTTATTGCTATATATTACGGGAAAGGAAGGCAGCGATGCTGGAAGAGAAGCCAAGGACACCCATGTTGGGGAGGGGAAGGCAGTTTTGTTAACTACAGGTGGTCCTCGATTTACAACTCTTAGTGATGGTTCAAAATTACAACAGCACTGAAATAAATGACTTATGACCTTTGTTCACAATTATGACAGTTGCACCATCCCCACAGTCACGTGACCAGAATTCAGACTGTAGGCAACTGTTTCGTATTTATGACGGTTGCTGTGTCCCCAGGGTCCCCTTTTGTGGATCTACTGACAGGCAGTCAATGAGGAAGGCAGATCCACTTAACCACCAGGTTAACGACTGCAGAGATTCACTTAACAACTGTGACAAGAAAACTCAGCAAAGCTCACTTCACCAATGTCACATTTAACAACATAAACGTGGGGCTCGATGGTGGTCGTAAGTCGAGGACTACCTGGGTAGGCATCTATTAGTATACAGCCAGGAAAAAAAATATCCCCAAGTCTGCTGAGCATTTTAGGTCCACCCTTCAGCAGGCCAGTTGTGACATTTTAAAGGAAGTTTTGTGGCCCACCAGAGGAGCTGGCCACAGATTCGGACAGTGAGGAGGCTGGGGAGGAACGTGGGCCAATCCTGGAGTCTGGGGAAGGCTCTGACGAGGGCTCTGTGTCGGAGGCAGAGAGGGGACAGGGCCTTATGCCAGTTATCAGCTGCCTTCAGAGTCAGACATCAGTGAGGCAGAAGAACAGCTGGAGCCTGTTCCCAGTGTGTACATGCGCAGAGTTGCCAGACAAAGGGAACAGCTAAAGAACAGGGGTCGACTTGGGACTAAGGCCACAGGTGGACGATGAAGGGCCCCTCCCAGAGGAAATAAAAGAGGAGCGGAAGGGGAGTGGAGTTTGCAGGAGACAATTAGTTCGCTTAATTGGTTCCTGACTCCCTGAGACTCCTTGCCAGGTTTTGCAGATATCGGCCTGGCAGCTCTCCAAGCCTGATAACGTCTGTGACTGTATATCCTCCCTCGAAAGACTTTGTGGATGTGAATGAGCAGAATTCACAAGAAATTAATCAAAGGGTTTTTTGTCGGGACAAAGAGTTTGCTTCATGCTCTTGGGAAGCCTCGGTCAGAACAGACTCACCTGCGCACCCCCTCGTGGTTTTCAATCTTGCTGATGATCTTGATGTTCTTTCCCTTCTCCCCAAGGACCTTCCTGACTGCGTGGACGTCATCCGCTTTACGGATGAAGGAAGCGAAAACCATGTCCACATCCTGCTCCACCCCAAACTTGAGATCCTGGATGTCCTTCTCGGAAACCGCAGGGAGATCGACGGCAGCCCCAGGTAAGTTGACACCCTTTTTGCTACCCAACGACCCACCGTTCTCCACTTCGGTCATGATGTAGTCAGTGCCTGCAAAGGATTGGAGACATTAAGAGGGTCACGAATGTCTATGGAGATTCCCAATCATCCAGGTCATGGTTGCCCCAAAGATTCCCCCACCACAACCACCACCAAAAAAAAGGACACTGGACTTTTTCCTTTGAAAACATTTCGCTTCTCCTCCAAGAAGCTTCCTCAGAAGCGAAGGAGAAAGTCCAGTTGCCTTTTGGAAAGGCACCTTTGGGATCCACAGGGTCACTCTGAACTCTTGTAAGCTCTTGATCTCTTTGCAAAAGAGCTTTGGTCAAACTGGCTATTATACAGATTACGGTGGAGATCAGCGAACCTTTTTTGGCTCGCCCGCCATAAGTGGGGGGAGCGCAGGGGGGGTCGTGTGCAGGCGTGCCGCACCCATAATGCAATGCGCGACTCCCCCCCAGTGCACATCTGTGCACTACAGGCGCTCCCCCCATTTTTTGCATGCTTTTTTTCGCCCTCCCCAGGCTCCAGAGGCTTTATAGGAGCCCTGGGAGGGTGAAAACGGCCTCTCCCGCCCCCCGGAGGCTTCAGGGACCTTCAGGAGGCTTCCCTGAACCTTCCGGAGCAGTCAAAACTACCCTCTGAGCAAACAGAAGCCACTTCCGCCTTGCTCGGAAGGTTGTTTTGAGGGCCCTTCAAAAGGAAGGTTGTTTTGAGGGCAGTCAAAACGACCTTCTGAGCAAACCGGAAGTCCGTTCCCGAACTTCCGGTTTGCCCATAGGGCTGTTTTTTTGCACCCCGGAGGCTTCATGGAAGCTCATGAAGCCTCCGGAGGGCGGAGGAGGCTCTTTTCGCCCTCCCCAGGCTCCTATAAAGCCTCTGGAGCCTGGGGAGGGCGAAAAATGGCTTTAAAAAAGGATGAACTCAGCTGGCCAGCGCGCGCATGCCCTGGCAAATGGCTTTGCGTGCCACCTGTGGCACACGTGCCACAAGTTCGCCATCACTTGTGTAGATAATGATTTTTTTCCAATAAGTGAGGGGCATGGTGGCCTAGTGGTGAAGAAGCTCGTCTTACACTTGGGAGGCTGAGAGTTTGACGCTAGGCAATGCCAGATGCTCCTCTATCGGGGCACAAAGAGAAAATATCTGCCGCGAACTCCACACAGGCGTCAGGAAGGGCATCCGGCCAGTAAATGCTCAGCTACACGCAGCCACCACAACTCCGCCCCAATAAAAGGAATCACAGGGTCATAAGGAGAAAAAAATAAATTTCAATAAGCCTTTGAGTTGAGATCATTAAGCCATGTTGCGTCATTGCAAGGGACTTGAGGGAGGTTGCTGTGATTTTGTAAAGTTTGTAGGGAGCCCACCGCACCTGTGGATTTTTTTATAAGATAGGCCCAATGATAGGTTTCCATTGGAGACATTCGGTACGGACATTATTTAGAAGTTGTCTATTAAATTTAAGTGCTGCCTGCTGTGGCCCGGCAGGAGCCGCTGGAGCTGCCGCCAGACTCCGACAGCGAGGGGTCTTATGAGTCGGCCCTGGAGGAGGTGGAGGACCCTGGACAGGGTTCCGACTCCAAGCAGGGCAAGGAGAGACTGGTTGGCCACTAGGTGGCGTCGGAGCCTTGGATCAGTGGGGAGGAGACAAGAGTGGGTGATCCAGAAAACACCTGTGAGTTGTTCCTGGATGCACGCCGTCAAAGGGCTACTTGGCGGCAAGAG